AGACAGAAAATCTATGTCCTTAATCCTGCCTTTGATATTTACTAAACTCAGTTAAAAGCTTAGGCAAGTAGTCTCATTTCACTAATCTAAAAATTTGCCCTAATAATTTCTTCATCAGATTATTTCTTTTACTCATAATTTTATTATAAAAATCTTTCAAACATAAGGAAAAGTTTAAAAATTTTACAATGAACATCCATGTACTTGCCACCTAGATTCTACTATTAACATTTTCCTTTACTTGCTTTATCACATGCCTGCCCATCTATCCAACCATCAGTCTATTTTGCTTTCAGTGTCTGTTTCAAAGTAGTTGCAAAATCAGTATACCTTTCATTTTTTTGAGGAATAAATCAAATGATTCACATAAAGCATCAAGCACAATATCTAGCACAGGGACAAATGTCAGAGTCCTAGTCACTCTCTTCCCTCCATCTATATGTATCATATAGAGCTCCAGTGTTGTTGGACCCACTAAGAATGTCTATACATGTGTTTATTCTCAAGCAAGGGGGAGATTTTGTCAATAACCTTTTCATCAAAATTCTGTTGGCCTCTACCTTTAAAATGTATCCCCATTTCTCTCTAATCCACCCTCTTATTTAAAAAGCAAAACAAAACAAAACACCTTGAGTAGAAAAACACTAACGTAGGAAGACTTTAGAGTTGGAAGGGAGGCAACAGACTGTCTAGGAAAGGAAGGATACTGTAGTGAGTTCCCAGGACTTTTTCTTTCTTCTTTTTTTCTTTTGTTTGCTATGTATTTGGACGGAGCACTGGAGAAACTGCAGCCTGGAACTGCCAATAAGTATAGACAAAAACAGCCCCAAGTGAAACCTGCTCCCTATAGATAAATGACTGGGAAAAACAGGTAGACTAACAGAACAGGAAAACTTTTGATAATACTGACCTGCTGTAGCCAAATACCAAAGAAAAAAACTGTACCCTCAACCCTGCAGTGTCAGTAGTGCTGTGTAGAGAGCTAGATTTCTGGCTCCACCAGGGGCAGCCAGGAGAGGCAACTCTAAGATGGCCTTCCACTTCCTCCACTAGGCTGTTGTTGGTAGACAGAACAAGAACTGAATTTCCATCCCCATCTGGGCAGCAAATAGGCAGAACAAGGGGGTATGAGGTGGTGCTAGTCGATTCTCCACTTTCTAGTGGGGAGCTGAACTCGTACCCTTATCCAGCAGCAACAGGCTGGAATGAGGTGGCATTAGCTGGCATTCCATTCCCCTACTCCTAATATTGATAGGGACCAGCAAGAAGCTTAACTTCTACCCCTGCACAGTGGCAATGAAGTAGAAGGAGTAAGAGGAAATCAGTACTAGTTGGAAAACCGCTCTGCCTACTAGGGTAACATCAGCAGGGCCCTGTGGGGATCTAAACTTCTACCCCCATGCAGAGGTAAGGAGGCAGAATAAGGTGGTTCAAGGCAGTGCTAGTCAGCACCCCATCTTCTCTCCCCGATTGGTGTTAGTGGATCCAAGCGGGGAGCTGAGCTTCTACTCCCACCTAATGGCAGTGAGGTAGAATGAGGGGAATGCTCTGTGTTTCCCTCCCTGCTGTTTCTGTGATCAAGGGGGAGCTGAACTCCCGTGCCCACCCAGCTGCAAGAGGAGTCTGTTTTACATCAAAGGAATCATTTACAAATGTAAGTCAGGTCAAGTCATTTTTCTCACAGGCTTCCCATTTCTCTCAGAGTAAAAGTCAAAGCTTTTAAAATGATCTACAAGGCCCTACAGGATTAATGCACTATGGTCTCTCTGACAGTGGTAGGCAAAGTTCTAAGAGGAACTCGTGATATCTACCTCCTAGTGTTATTCCCACAATTAAGTTCTTACATAAGAAAAAGGGATTATGCGGCGGGGCGTGGTGGTTCAAGCCTGCAATCCCAGCACTTTGGGAGGCCGAGGCGGGCAGATCACGAGGTCAGGAGATTGAGACCATCCTGGCTAACACGGTAAAACCCCATCTCTACTAAAAAAAAAAAAAAAAAAAAAAAATTAGGTGGGTGTGGTGGCTAGCGCCTGTAGTCCCAGCTGCTTGGGAGACTGAGGCAAGAGAATGGCGTGAACCCGGGAAGCGGAGCTTGCAGTGAGCTGGGATTGTGCCACTGCACTTCAGCCTGGGTGACAGCGCGAGACTCCTCAAAAAAAAAAAAAAGAAAAAGAAAAGGGATTTTGCAAATGTAGTTAAGGTTACTAATCAGTTAAGATAGGAACATTATCTGGATAGGCCTGGCCTAATCACATAAACCCCTAAAAAGCAAAGAGTTATTCAGCTAGTTGGAGAAAAGGAAGTCAGAGCTTCCAAATCTTAAGAGGATTCAATGTGCCAATGTGCCATTACTTGCTTGAAGATAGAGAGGGCCATGGGATGAGGAATATGGATGGCTTATAGGAGCTGAGAGAGGCCCCAGTTGATGGCCAGCAAGGAAATGGGTACCTTATTCCTTATGATGGTTAATTTCATGTGTCAGCTTGACTGAGTCACTGAGCGTCCAGCTATTTGGTTAAACATTTTCCTCAGTATATCTGTGAGGGTGTTTCTGGATGAGATGAACATGCAAATCAATAGACTGGGTAAAGCAGATTGTTTTCCCCAAAGTGTGTGATCCTCATTTAATCCACTGAAGGCCTGAATAGAATAAAAAAGCAATGAGAGGGTGAATTTGCTGCTTCTTCCTGGCTATCTTCAAGCTGGGACATCAGTCTTCATCTGCCTTCGGGCTTAGCCTCAGCCTGCAACTACTTAATATATATCACTGGCTCTCCTGGGTCTCCAATTTGTTAGCCACAAATCTTGAGGCCTTATCAGCCTCCATAAGTACCTAAGCCAATTCCTTATTATGTATGTGTATATAATATAGATGTATGTGTATATGTGTATGCAATCTCATGTTGACTTTCTCTGAAGAACCCTGACTAATACAATCCTATATCCACAAGAAACTGAATTCTGCCAGTAACCTACATACATCTGGAAGCAGATTTTTCCACAGAAATTTGCAATAAAGCTCAGCCTGGCTGACACCTTGACTTCAGCATAGGCAGACAACACAGTCAAGTCCACCCAGACTTCTGACCTACAGAACTGAAAGAGAATAATGCGTGTGGTTTTAACCTGCTAGATTTGTGGTAACTTGTTACTCAGCAATAGAAAACTAATACAGTGACTTCATTGTTTACCATTCTTCTTTCCTCATTTACTCAGTTTAGCCACAATGGCCTCCTAGTTCTTTGACAATACCAGGCACCCTTCCATATTAGGATCTCTGTTTGTCTATTCCTTTCTTCTGGCCAGAATGTTCTTTCTTTTTATAGTGACCTGACCAGTTTCTTCACCTCTTCAATTTTTTCTAAAAGGTCACCTTCTCAATGCATCTTGTCCAGGCCCTCCTCGCCACAACCTCCTATGCTGTTCTGCTGTTTTTCTCTCCAAAATACTTATTGCCTTATAACATACTATATAATTGATTTATTTATTGCATCTATCATTTATTAGTCTACCTTCATTAGATTGTAAGTCCTACAAGCACAGGGATATTTGTTTTGTTTGCAAACATTCTGAGCACCTGAAACAGCCTCCTGGCACAGTAGGTGTTGACAAAGTATTTGTAGAATGAAATGAGTTAACTATATGTCACTTTACCTCTGACTTAATGCATTGTTATATAATTTATTACTTACAGCTCAAGTTATGATGTGCACTTTACACTCTTCCTCATAATAAGGCATATATACAAAATGCATCATTTTATGCATGGAAATGTGATAGCAAGTAACAAACTATTTGTGTAGTCATTAGTATAAAATATATTGGATGGCTCTTTCTCATTCTTACATCATTAAGAGCTGGAAAATAGAAGATGAACTGAGATGTTTGGGAGAGGAGGGTGGGTGATACAAATGACAACTTGGTAAACCTAAGGCTTGCAAAATGCTTTCTAAAACTACTGATATAGAAAATTGAACTAAATGCCTTTTAAGACTTTTTACATTCTATAATTGCATATTATTCTGACCTCTACACAAACTCAGCAAACTATTGGCTCAAGATTTGGTCTCTAACCTTTCTGTTGATGATCCTCAAATCTGTATTTATAGTCCTCTCTGAAGACCCAAATTCCTATTCTTTGCCTGCAGCTGCTTCAGAACGTCTCCACCTGGATATCCCACTATTTCCTGGAACTGAGTATGTCAAAATCATACACATTCTCATGACCCTGGATTCCACTCATCTCTCCTTTTGCTAGTTACTTAGATGCTCTCTCTCCTCTTTTTCCAGTGTCTGAGTCATCTCTGGACCTACTGCTTCTCCCTTCAAATTTCCTCTCTCATGTTGCCCTTTTTAAAATTCTCATTGCTATCACCCTTGTTCGGGCTGTGACTTCCTCGCAGCTGGATTACTAGACAACATCCTAAATGGTTTTCCCACCTCCCATCATATCTGTGCTTTCCTCTCCGTCAGCCCTCCATAGGACCATCTGTTAATTTTCCTAAAACGAATTTAAGTGTTCTTAATGTCTCAGAATCTTCCAATGAGTCCCCATGGCCTACACAGTAAATTTTAATTAACAATCAAACGAACAACAAACCCACAACCCGGCATATAAGATCTTTCATGATCTGGCATTCAATCTAGTCTCTTGTTCCCCAAAATCCCTCCCTCCTTTTGTGTACATCCGTCATACTGAGTACTACTGTGTTGCTCAATACAAAAACAGATGTTTTAGACAAAAGAAAAGTAGAAGTAAAGGTAGTTTAAGAAATTTGTTTAGAATGATGGAATGATTTTTGCATGGTATTTTGGTAGTTGTTACAGTGGGGAACTCAAATATCTGTCCTGATATTAGCCTCTTTCTTGATGTGCAAATGTTATCTTAGTTCGAGAAACAATTTTATAGGTAGTGAATCGCTGATATCATATGAAAGTAAAAGCAACCTAAATCTTAAATGGATCAGCCTCTGAGCTGTGTTCTCTATTTCTTTCTGCAGAGAGCCGCGCAAGGTGGTCCTGCACAAAGGCTCCACTGGCCTGGGCTTCAACATTGTCGGTGGGGAAGATGGAGAAGGTATTTTTGTATCCTTCATTCTGGCTGGTGGACCAGCAGACCTAAGTGGGGAGCTCCAGAGAGGAGACCAGATCCTATCGGTGAGTATGCTTCTTTAATCTTTATTCCCTCCATATCTGACGCCGTCAGTGAAAAAGCCTTAACTTTCAATTATGATACCAAAAGCACCTTAATTACAAAGGAAAATGGATGAGAGCGTCATGACTTCTGGTGCATGTCACAGTTTTGTTTGTTTTTGTTTTTGTTTCCTTTGAGACAGACTCTTGCTCATTCTATTGCCCAGGCTGGAGTGCAGTGGTGCAATCTCAGCTCACTGCAACCTCTGCTCCCAGGTTCAAGTGATTCTCCTGACTCAGCCTCCCAAGTAGCTGGCATTACAGGCATGCATCACTATGCCTGGCTAGTTTTTGTATTTTTAGTAGAGATGGGGGTTCACTATGTTGGCCAGGGTGGTCTCAAACTGCTGACCTCAGGTGATCCACCCGCCTCAGCCTCCCAAAGTGCTAGGATTACAGGCATGAGCCATCACGCATGGTCTACATGTCACAGTTTAAATGGTGTTCAGGTGCTTGATGCTTGTTGCACTTACTTCCCTCAAATAAAGGTGAAGTGCTAATATTTTCTTCTAGATGTTCCGAGACACATTTGCATCCAACAGAATGTTGAGAAGCATGCCTTTTTAATAATGATATATTACTTCTTTTATTTTAAAAAACAGACTTTTCCCCCAAACTCATAACCATACTCTAAACACTGTACCTTTATAACGTGTATAGTTTGGTGCAAATGTAAAAAAAATAAAATGCATAAGATAATGCTATATGGAGTTTGCTGATGGTACGGAGTTGTAGCAGCGGTACCACTCAACTAAATTCAAGAATTATCAGCAACAATGTATTAAGCACCTTTCTTTTTTTTTTTTTTTTTTTTTTTGCTTTTTTAATAATTTCAACTTTTATTTTTTTATTTTAGATTTGGGGTTACACACGATGTTTCTTATATGGGCATATCACGTGATGCTGAGGTTGAGCGTACAATTGATCCCATTACCCAGATAGTGAGCCTAATACCCAGTAGTTTTTCAATCATTTCCCTTTTCCTTCCCTCCCCACTCTAGGAGTCCGCAGTATCTATTGTTGCTAACTTTATGTCCATGAGTATCCAGTGTTTAGCTCCCACTTATAAGTAAGAACATGTGGTATTTGGCTTTCTGTTCCTATGTTAATTTGCTTAGGATAATAGCCTCCAGTGGCATCCACATTGGTGCAAAGGGCATTATTTTGTAAGTAATTTTCAAGGCTACTTTATTGAGATGAGATTGACATAGAAAAAGTTGTATATACTTAATGACGAATTTGGAGATGTGTATGCACACATGAAACCATCACACAATCTATGCCATAATGCAGCCATCACTCCAAAAGTTTTCTCCTATTCTCTTCTATTTTTGTTATTGTTTTCCTTTTGTGATAAGAACAATTAACATAAGATCTACCCTCATATCAAATGTTTAAGCAGGCAGTATTGGTGACTATAGGCACTACATTGTTCAATGGACCTCTAATTTATCTTGCATAACTATTATTTATTCTTCTCACAATCACTCTGAAAGGTACTGCCCCGTGTTCAAATGAAGATAAACTTCAAGCTAGTCAAAGTTTACCTAACTACAGAGAGTCAGAGCTGGGATTTAAATATTCCATTTAATGCCCATTACACCTACTATATCCCTTCCCTCCCTCTTTTCATTCTTCCATTCCATTGCCACTTTCTCCCTTCCTTCTAATTTTCCTTTCCTCTTCCTTTCTTTCCCTATTTGCTTTAATTTATTCAAATATTTATTGACTGTCTCCTTCTACTATGTCAAGCTTCCTCCTTAGTATGGTAGGGTAAATCCATTGTGAGTGTTCCTACCTATATTTTAATTTTACTACTCATGAAAATAATAATGGAGAGTTACATAAGGAGCCAGTACTTGTGGCTGATATTATGGTTCATGGTTCATAGTTCATAGCTAAACAAAGCACTTAGTTTGTGGTTTTCATTGTGCATTTAGAAAAATTTGTTTTTGTTTTATGGCTGTGATTTATAAATAGAATCTTATAATTGACCTTATATTTGTTAGCCACCATTCCAACCCTTCAAAAAATGGGAAAATCTCCCTCTCTCTCTCTCTCTCTCTCACACACACACAAACACAAAAACACACAAACACACACACACATACTTTACCTAAATAACATCATACAGTCTGTTGACTTTAGTAAGGTGTCCGGCAGTTTGCACGAATGGCATGAATGGCCTTGTCATATGTGTCACTGAGGTCCTCTCACATATGAAGGCCTCTGCCCACTCATCAGCTTGCAGTTCCGTGGAAGGATGTTGAGTATGGGAGAGACAGTGTAAGGTCCCTCATTAGGACCTTGTTCTGCCATCCAAGAACTGAGCATCATTCCTTAAACTACTTCCCTTACCTACTTCAATACTTTCATGATATATAAGATATAACTGGCAGCTATCAAACTTTATTGTCCATGTACGTTTACATGTCTGTCTTCCTGTACTAGGTAGTAAGGCCTCTCAAAGCAAATTCTCTATCTTATATGATTTTATATCCTTAATATTTAGCACAATGCCTGGCACATAGCAGTCTCTTTAAAAAAAAAAAAAGTGTTTATTTAACGGAAAAAGTGTTGAATAAATATGGTGGCACATTAAGAAGTCACTATAGCCTGAAAGATTGACTCTAAAATTCTACCTAAAGCATACTAACGTATCTTCATCATCCTGGCTTACATTCTCTATACTGGGGTACCACTTTGTCATTTCATTACAATCAGCATTCATATCATCGTTAAATGTTCCCAGACGCAAAGCACTGTCACATGCATTAATTCTAGAGATCCTCTAAGTCATTCTAAGTGGCAGGATAGGTTGTTATTATTACTGCCATTTTACAAATCAGGAGAAAAGAGATTCGGAGAGATTAAATGATCTGTCTATGTCTCCAGCTACTGACTATAAAGCTGCACTCAAAGTCAGTGTTCTCTCTCCTCTCGGCACAGTCTCTTTTCAAAATTTTGTCAACGGTCTCTATGGCACATCTTCCTAGTACACACCACACTGTGTGCACATTACATTCAGGAACACATAAAACAATAAAGAACTAATACTTACATGGTACTTTTGAGTCAGTCACTATCATAAATAATTTAGCCTTCTAACAACATTATGCCTTATTATGTTCACTTTAAGGATAAAGAAATTGAGCCACAGGGATGACATTAGACTCTCTAACTCTGTTTAAATAAAAAAAATCCACCAAGCCACAGGCTTTATTTGTTTTAACCTCCATACATGTGAGAGAAAAAAAATGAGCTAGTAATACTCTATGGCTTGACAAAGAAAACTCCCAAGTATTTCTGCTTCAAAAATAGATTTATCCATTTAAATATTATTACCAGGACCACATAGTAAATAAGGCAGCCAATCAGAATTATAGTCTTCTTAGATATTATAATTCACAGGACATAACAACAATCTTTGAAGTTCACACAGCATATCCATTTTTATGTATAACATTTGCAAATACATTTGATGAAGAAAATATCTGCTTTTTTCTGTTGAGAAAGAAGAAGGAGCATTTCTCCTTAGTATATCAAAATGTATTTCACCTATAGCTAGCTAGAAAATGGCTAGTTTCAAGGTTCACTATTGGAATTTCATTGCTTAACATTGAGAGAAAAGAATAAACAGTCTTGAGAAGCTCAAGCATTACATGGTGGAAAGCAAAATGGCACAAAAGTATTACTAATGATGGAATATGGAAGATAAAATATTTTCATCTATAACTTACACTGGTCATACAGGCGCAAGCTACCTTCCTGGAAAATACAAAGCAAAAACTCTAAATAACAATCTAGAGCTGGCTGGGCACAGTGGCTCATGCCTATAATCCTAGCACTTTGTGATGCTGAAGCAGGCAGATCACCTGAGGTCAGGAGTTCGAGACCAGTCTGGCCAACATGGTGAAACCCTGTCTTTAGTAAAAATAAAAAAATTACCCAGGTGTGGTAGGGTAATGCACACCTTTAGTCCCAGCTACTTGGGAGGCTGAGGCAGGAGAATTGGTTGAACCCAGGAGGCAAAGGCTGCAGTGAGCCAAAATTGCACCACTGCCCTCCAGCCTGGGTGATGGAGTGAGACTCTGTCAAAATAAATAAATAAATAAATAAAAAACCTAAATAAAATTCAATACATATTAATAGGTCATGTAAAATTAATTTGCAAATAAGTCATGTTAACAACAATGTAGTAATTTCAGAGAAAGGAAGTAGAATCCCCAGGGAAGGGATCTGGGGGATGTGTCTTTGGTCTCAATTGTTCTTCATAGGTAAGAGACTTGCATAATAGACAATTACCTTTCTCATCAGGGGCAGAATGTCCATTCCTACTCTCACACACAGACTATAGGATCTTCCTAGGAATTTAGTTATTAATGGTTTACTATGTGCCAGGTATTGTATATGTATGTATATGTATATAAACACATATACATACACATATATACACACACACACTCTGAAGAAAGAGAAGAGACAATAACACTTAAAATACAGCATGTCATAGTATATGTATTCAATAAATGTTGCTATTACTATTAACAACTCTGCTTTAAGACTGTATCTGTTGTTTTTTAAAAAGGTTCAGATACCCATGTATAAGGAAGGCCTCTTTTGGATAGTTTGGGCTGTTCCTTCTTTGGGACAGGGATTGAACTAGATTGGCATTTTCCCAAAGTGTGTTTCACAGAACGCTGAAACAGCAGGATTGTAATAGGTTGCTACTGTAATAGGTTCCTTTGTACAGACTTCTTCAATGAAGAACTTCTAAAAGCCATGTTTACCTGTGTCCATTGGAAATCTCCTAGAGCAGATGAAATCTGTGGTTTTCACAAACATTTTGACCACAAAACCCTTACATAAGGAGTGTCTTACAGGACACCAGTAGCGGAAAATGCTTGAGTAGATTTGTTGTTATTATTTGCGACGGAGTCTGGTTGTGTTGCACAGGCTGGTGT